GGGGCGGGGGGGGGGGGGGGGGGGGGGGCTTTAGAGAGACTCCAAGAGCTGCTTTAATTAAAGCACCACAGTATCTCGTGTATTAGAGTCCCCACACTTCAAAATTGCGACAGTGGCGGCACTTCAACTAAACCTTGTTCGACAAACTTTAGTTAAAGCACCCCTGCTGCCATTTTGAAGTTTGGGGATGCTAATACATGAGACATGGAGGCTGGCTGGAGCACGGTAATTGCCACTCTCCAGCAGACACAATTAACCAAGTCTGCTCCAACACCCTGTAATAACAGTGCATTAGAGCAGCCCCACAGCATGTCTACAGGCACCCTTTGGTTCTAAAGTGCCTTTAAACATTCTGATTCCAATCACTGTTGTACAAAGCACAGCCAGTAGCAAGAACTGGGCACACAAAAGCTTATAAAATTGTGTATCATTATTGTTTTTTATAATTTTTGGACAAAGTCATTTGACAGTGTCATAAGCAGCATCTCTAGTTTATGCATCTCATATAAAAATGATGATATTATTCATATACAAACCAAGAATTCCTATCCTAATAAGACTTATTTTAGAAGTCTAACTGCATATAAAACCTTTCCAGAATTTAAATGGTTTTCATAGAAATATCCCTATGTACTTCCAGCTGCCTTGAATAGCTTTATCTATCCCCCTTTTTTTTTTCTTTGCAATTTGTGGTTTCTGTAGACAATTCCTGCTTCAAGCAGTCTGGATGATACCATTTTCACAGGAAAATGCTATTATAGTTAATAAAAGTCAACCAAATTTGGAAATCCAAATTATTTTTACTCATGCCCAGTACAGAGTGAATAAGCTGGAAGCCACATATACACACAAATCCACATGCAAGTGTAGAAGCTGAAAGTAAATGCAAACACCTCTGCAGTGCAAATGTAATGCAAAATCCTCTCTGGCTAGAAAGGGTTTGTGAATACATCAAAACTTAAAACATGAAATACTTTTAAATTTCTCTGCTTGATATTTTATACAATTCCAGATGCTTGGCTAGTCTACCCAACCATCAGATAAAGACAGAACAAAAACTTTTATTGATGTCATGCCCTCACATGGTTTAGTTATCTCTCAGCCTAATATTTTGAAGGCAGTATCAAGAAAAAAAAAAAGAGACAGCACTCAAAAACAAATAGCTAACTTTAGAATAGCAATAATCTGAACATAGAATTTCTACTGGAAACACTTGGGTAATGAAAAAGATGCTGAAATTTTACAGCCAAGGGGTCTCAACACTCAGAAGTGAAAGATAACAAAATTAAACAGTTAAAAAAACACATTTCTCTTCAACTTTCTTTCAGCCCAAATGCTTGGGACCTCATTAAGAAGTTAATCATTTTAGTGTGGATGATATCTATATTCAAGTACTGCTTTGGAATACCATTTTGTCAAAATTGCAAGTATAAACCTATTTTACTTTGTAAGATAAAATGAAGCCCAAAAGACTCCTGTGCAAGTCTCTCTAAATAGGTTTTGCCTTTTTCTGCCCATTTCAAACCTAATGAACCTAAAGTTCTAGTACAAAATTTAACATCCAAGATTCTAGGTGTTCCTTTCTTGTAGCAAGATGCCCTTTTCTGACCAGTTTGCCAACTTATTTCTGATGTAATAGATTTGGAAGGCCCTTAATCTTTAAAAAGTTTCACTGGCTTAACTCCCTAAAACTTCTATGCAAGTCTCTCGAATCCTCTGGACACTCGAGCAACATTTTTTTTCTTTTGGATGAATTCCTTCAGATTCTAAACAAGGTTTATTACCTCCTCCTCTGTCAAACAGATCCTACCTATTCCAGTAGGTGGGGAAGGAGAGTGGGCCAGACAGAGAGGGAAAAGCAGGAGGAGGAGGGGAAATAAGTGAACTGGCTACATGCTGCTTGAAGGCTCTCAGTTGTAGAATATGTTTTGGGGTTGTGTGTTGTGACTGTGGCTGAGACCTTCCAGCTCAGCATGTGTTGCGGGCTTCTACCTTTGACTGCTACTGACAGATGGCGTGCCTTTTTTTGGAGGCATGACTGACCCAAGTTATAAGCTTTCCACCTGTACCACAGAGCAGCAAACAGGGAGCCTGTGAAATGTTTGTGAAAATGAACTTGGGGGCTTTTCAACCTTTTTTCTTTTTGGTTATGAACTACAAGGAAAAGCGGATGATGCCTACTGACACCTATTGATGACCCAAGGAAGATTAGAAACAATGAGGATAAATGCACATATGATTTCAGGATATATATAATATCCTTGACTGGGCACATGAAAGAAGGTACTTTTGCAGGAAATGTTTCCTGACAGAACTCATGGAAGAAATCCAAGGGACAGAGATGCAGCTGGAGTTCAGGCAGACAGAAATGTAAAGAAAAGGCAGACATATAGGAATTAAGGAAACTAATTAATCAGCTGAAAACCTAACTGAATGTTGAGGATGCTTCATACTTATGTCAAAGATACAAAAGCTATCCAGAATCTGCATCCCAAGTAATGGGATAGGTGGGGGGGATGAGAGAAGGAAGGCTCCTGAACTAACTAGATACATAATTATGTCAAAAAGAATACTGGGTATAAGAAGGCGGCCTGTAAGGAATGGGAAAAAAGGATTTGGTCAGCAAAGCTCCATCTTGAAACTTACGAAGTGTAGGGATAAAAGTAACAATTGCCATAAGTCAAGCCAAAACATATAGGAAATTAAAGTAAATAGTAAAATGCAGAAGTTGGGCCACTATGCAGGGAGGATGTTGGAGGTGGGGAGCTAAGATTAAAGAAATGACCCCCAAACTCTCTAGGCGGGCTGCGCTGCCCCACTGTCTGCTCTGAGGTGCACATGCAGTCGCCGCCAGCATGGAACCGATGCTGGGGCTGGGGAGCCTGGCACAGCTGTTTGCAGCCTGTTTGCTGCTTGCTGCAGCTGCCCAGAGCCGAGGCTGGCTACAAACAGCTGCACCGGGCTCCGGAGCCAAGTCACCAGCTCTGTGCTGGGAGTGGGGGAGAGACCAGAGCTGCGATGCCTCAGGCCCCTCCCCCACCGCCCACTCTGAGGTGCGCCTGCATGCACTGGTACAGAGCTGATGCCGGGGCTCCAGAGTCCGGCACAGCTGTTTGCAGCCTCCTGGCTGCGGCTGGCCCTGGCTCTGGGTAGTTGCTGCCAGCTGGGAGCCCGGGCTGCTCCCAGCAGGCAGCTGGGACGCTGCAAGCCCTGCTGGGAGCAGCCCGGGCTCCAGCAGCTACCCAGAACCAGGGTAGCTGCTGACATCCACAAAGCCTGGGCTGGGGGGCAAGGGCTTTAGGTAGGGGGCAAGGGGCAGCAGGCCTGGAGAGCAGGGGCAGCAGGGGCCTTGGATGGGGGGCAAGGGGCACAAGCAGGGCATCCAGCCATATACCCCTGCCCTCGTTTTGTTTTTCTGGCATGCCGGCACTCTGACACCTTCCAAGGTAGGCATGGTGGTATTTTTCAGCACTCCTGCCAAAAAAATTGCCTTGAGTTGACTAAGTGAGGATGAAAATCCAAGGTTAAATATGGTATGCTCAGTTTCAGAGTGGAAGAGAACCACAGTCTAATAGGACTGGTGACTGCCTTCCCTAGCACCTGTGCATAAACCAGTTTTCACTAAGCTAGCAAAAAAGTTATGAAAAATATCCTTTGTCCTCCAAGCACTTGCATAGTACCACTAGTACATTAAATGGAAGAAAAGGAACGTGCTGGTTCCTTCTCAAAGGAGAAGAAATTCATGTATAGATAAAATAAGCTGTAGCTGATAAAAGTTCATGACTGAATAAGTCAGTATATAAGGTGTCACCCTGTCCTGCCTTCTGCCTAACTTCAGACTAACGTTGCTAACTACCTCTCTCTACTAATAGCAAGACCAACATGGATAGTTTTCCTTTAGAAAAGGCAGAATTATCAACATTTTCTTTTCACCAAATTACTTGCAAGGTCTCAGGTAAACAAGGTCTGCTTTCAACCCAGACCTCCTTTTCTATAAATGCATTTTTAACTTTTGCAAATATAAGTTGAGGTAGCATATGGAAACTAACTGCTGTCTACACCCTTCATTCTACTGTACCAAAACTTGCCTTCTCCAGAGTCTAGGACTCCCTAGGATTTCCATATCATGCTATTTCCAACTGGAGCTTAGGTGTCCCTTTCTCGCTGAGGTCAGAATAAAAAAAAAGAAAGACAGCTCCATAAATCAACCCTTGACACTTCCAGCAGTCCTTATGGAATAAACACTAAATTGCTTGTTCTTGAGAGAACAGCTAGAATTAGATCAACCCTTAGTTTTACTACATTTAAAAAATCTTGCTGTTTATCAACACCATAAATCAGGGCTGTCCAGCTTCTAAGCTGGATGCTGCACTAGTGGGGTCATACCCCCTTGTTGCACTGGGTGCCTCTGTACCCTGCCAACACACCATTTTCTCATTTCTGCTGCACTATGTGCCAGGGTAGTCTACCTCACCCTCAGCTCCCCAGCTATGGGCACTAGGGGCGCGCGAAACGGGCTGTATTCGATTCGGATTTGCCCCGAACTGGGGACAGTGATTTGATTCGTAGATTCAGATCACTGTCCTGATTTGATTGGGCAGAAACCAAATTGGAAGATTCGATGATGATTTGGAGAATCAGCAATTACATAGCTTTAAATGTGTTTTCTACATACCTCGAGGTACCAGGAGTGGCTCATGAATGCTGAGATGGTGGGGCAGATAAAGCATCCCAGAGGAGCTTGGGGTGGCCCCCCATGTGCTCAGCAGTGAACCCCCCCCCCCCACACACACTTTCCCCTAGACCCAGGAGGCACCAGTCACTGAGCTGGGGGATGGGTCCCCTGCGCACTCCCTAGTAGATCTGGAAGTGTGCTGGAAATGCTTCTGGTCCACTTCTGGGTCCACTGCTGCGCGCACTGGGGATCCCCCTGCACTTCCGTGGGACACTCCATCCACCCCAGCATCTCAGCATTCACGAGCTGCCTGGTACCTTGAGATGCACAGAAAAAACATTTAAACCTGTGTCTAAGTCCAAATCATTGAATCTCTTTGAATCTCTCCAAATTGATTTGGAGGGTTCTGATTCGATTCAGAGAGATTAAAGGGTTTCTTGATTCAATTCTGATTCAGAGATTCGGCTGCCTAATCAGGCCAAATCAAATCAGCAACTGAAGCTTTGCACAGCCCTAATGGGTACCTCTGCTGCACTGAACCTCTCAAGTGCCCCAGGGCTTGGGCTTCCCCAGCATTGCAGAATGCGCTACACTGCATTACCCCAACTCCTGGGGTTTGGAAGAGGAAGCCAGAGGGAGACGCATGTGGCTGTAGAAGCAGCTAAAGCAACGGGGAGGGAATGGTGGTTGGGCAGGAGTCCAGGGGGCTACAATTTAACCCTTTGCAAGCCACATGCAGCCTGCAGGCTGCCAACTGAACAGCCCTGGCACAAATAGCTAAAATACATATTACAGTCTTAACGTTCATAATGTGAGCATTTATGTCCTACATTAAAAATAAGGTAATGAAATATTATAGTGAGAGATGAGATAGAAACCTCCCTGGTGAAGTACATTTAAAACTGACAGCTACTTACTGTAACAGGCACAGTCTCCTTTGAGATATATTCTCATAAATAATTAATTAGCATACAAATTTACCTTTGAATAAAGTATTTTATCCAATATATTTATATTCCATATAAGTGGCTACTTCTAACATAACACAATTATCAAGGAGAAATTACATATGAATTTTCACAGGTACAATTTTTCTCTTCAGAAGAATGGATTCTGACCACTAAGGAGGAAGGAAACCCCATTCTCATAGTATTTTAGATGTCATCTTGCCTTCCTAAAGCTTAAGACTGAAGTGTGTTAATTACTTTTCCATACACATGCAATTCATTTAAAGCATGCATTACTTTTTTTTAAATACAGGTCTCCAAGGCATCATATTTCAGCGCCCTTTGAAACTTTGATTGGTCTTTGCCTACTGAGGGGAGAGAGACATAATAGGCTGATTGCAGCCCTGAAGACAAGGAGAATTGAGGCAGGCATACTTATTTTTCAAAACACTGATTATAGGTCCAAACATGCTAGTATTACCATCTTTCTTCATTTTAATTTTTATAGAAACCAGCAGACAAAGAAAGAGGAAAGAGGCATAACCCAGCACCTGTTTCTCTCCACCTGAGTTTCCAAATGTGTGGCGGAAGCCATTCTGAATGACATTTGATATCCCTTCCATGCTGAAGCGCTAAAAAGTAGCAAAAAAATGGCAGAAAAAAAGGAGACAGAGAAAGTTCAAAGACTATTAGTGAGGGTTTACCAAGTCAACACAAGAAAGATCAGACAGACAAGCTGTTAGAATATATTTAGCACCGTTGCATGCTGTTCATACGCAGAAGAAAATTTTAAGAAAAGTTTAATATTAATTAACATTGTGATTCTAAGTATTATAAGACCTGATTGCATATTTTCATCATATATTGAATTAGAAGCAAAATCTTCATGACAGACTCAATGTTTACACATAAATGCATTTCATTATTCAGTGTATACAAACTTTGTTTTTAAATAAGAACCAAATTTTCAGACGTTTTTAAGAATAACTTAAAAAACGTAAATACGATGAATACAATTCTCCAGAGTTCAATTTCAGAGTATACCTATTTTTATGAAATTGAACCCTATTGTATTTAGAAGGATTCTTCTAACATTTAATTTTCTGAAAGCCTAATGATATATTACAAATTTATTTTTTGGATTAACACACACCAATTGACATTCATTCTACCTGAAGCCTGCTATGTGTTTGTGCTTTCTCTGCCACAGTAAAACAGCAACAAACTGTATCCCTGGAATGATGCTGATATTGTAAAGTGCACACAATTAGTTAACAAAATACACATATTAATTTCAAGCTCCATCAGAAGGATGTGGACACTAAGCACAAAAAAAAAAAAAATCAAGTTTACTCTACCAAATTTGTCTTTTGCAGTATTTGCATTCCATTCTTATTGAGTGAAGGAAAGAATAATAGATCCACACTTCTGATATTCACGCTGAGATGTGAGATTCAGAAGCTAACAAACTAAAAAATTTAAAAACCTCAGGCTATCCACAGAGACCTGTGAGCACACATCTACACACACCCGCATTTATTTTTCAAAGGAAAATAAAATGCTATATTAATGCAATATTCAGTGTAATTTTAAACATAATGAAACATAGAGGAAAGATATAAGGTCTGAAACCATCTTAACTCACCTTCCTAGAATATATGCAGATGTAAAGTGCTTTAAATTGTAAGTCTTAAAATACCTTAACTAATCCTCCTAAGTATCTTTGTGAAATAGGTAAAAACACAAAAAAAACAAAAAAACCCAACAAAACAAAAAAAAACAAACAAAAAAAACCAAAGAAAAAAACAAAAACAAAAAAAACTTCCTCATTTTACAGATAGAAAAAAAAGCCCAAGACAGAGGAAAGTAATTTATGTGAAGCTGATCAGAAAGTTATGGGTAGAGCAGCAATTACAATACTTGATTATTACTTATTTTTAAAAAATATTTGGTTTAAAATATATTTATCTGTTATTTATACTTGCTCCAGTAAAAAGTACATTATATTTTCAAATTTTGTATTAACTAAAGCAGTGTTGATGTAAATTTAAAATGCAAAAAGCACAAGGGAACCTTTTTTTAAAAAAAACCACAACCTACCACTTTATGATATCCTATGTTTGAGCGCTAATAGAGTATATTTTATAAAAGGTTTTTAAATCAGCTTATCTCCCATTTGTTAAAAGCAAGCTATACTAATTCTCTTTTTCCAAGGAATTTATTTCCCTGCAACATTAGTCTTTTTTTAAATTAGATTTCTGCTAAACATACTGGTAGAAAACAAGACTGAAACTGAATTGTGTTTAGTACAGTGTTTCCAATCTTTACCTTGTCACTAATTTACTTTTTTTTTTATTGGTTATAGTGATTTAGACAACCACCATGGCTAAACTCAGTACAATGGCCATTGTGGATCCATTTATAGCAAATTATTACTATAATGAACACCACCTAGCTCTTAGAAAGAGATTTTCAGCAATGATCTTAAAGTACTATCTGAAAGGTCAGTATCAGTCTCTTCATTATAATCATGGAGAAGCAGAGAAAAAGCAACCTGCCCAAAGTCACCCTGGAACCAGGGGCATAGAATTGTATCACGAAAATTTTAACTTAAAGTAAATTTACACATTCAGATTATGGAGAATACAAGGTTTCATGAACTCCCTCAATTCTTTACATTTGCAAGACAATCTCAATTTAAACATAAATTGCTTTTTCTAGGACTGAAACAAGAACTCCCAGAAAGGTTTTAATGCTCCATTCATTTCTGCAGAATCTTTACTGAATTCTAATCAAGACACTTAGAGTTAAGACTTCCTAAAAACATAGGCCAACCTCTTAGTATGCATTATGCCCAGACAACTGTATGCTTAGTCTCAATACCACAAGTACTGCAAATGTATACACAAAAGATTTTGGAGGTTATGGAGAGAAAGCTACTTTTATTAAACTACTGGATTTTAATGAAATTCAAATAGCTTGCCAAAATGAGAGATATCCAAACTTTTGCATAGTCAAAGAATCTTCAGAGAACTGAGCAAGAACTGACTTAAATCCTCTGCAAGCAACTACCTTCTCCCACTGGCATATCACCTAACATGGAATGATTTGAGAGCAGGTGCAGTTAAGAGTAAATCAGGTTTCAATATGCCTTGTTACAATGTATGAACTACAACTACCTTCATCAAAACACTGCCAAATCTTTGAAGATCTCAGATCACAGCTGTCCAAATGGTGGCCTGGAAGCTGCATGTGACTTGTGAGGAGTTAAATTACAGCCCTGGCTGTTCCTCCCACCATTGCTCCAGCACCAAAGCAGCAACGGGGGGGGGGGGGCTCCATGCTCCCCCTCCCTCTGTCTTCCCTTTCCTGCCCTGACACCAGCGGGCAGGGCAGTGCAGTACAACACAAGCATAAAGTGGCTGAACGAGCCAGTATAGCAGGGGAGCTCATGGTTGGCAAGATAGAGGCAAGTCCAGGAACTGCCTCCAAGGTCCATGACAGCCCAAGCCATGGGACCCCTGGCCACTTAGACGTTGGGACAGCCCTGATCTTAGATAACGCAGTTCATGTTTAATCCCACCTTTTATGCATGTTTCATCAGAGAGAGAGAGGTAGTTAGCTATGTTAGATTGAAGTCAGGCAGAAGTAGATTTGCATCTTATAGACTAATTAAATCAGACATGCATAAGTTTTCGTGAAGCAAGCTTACAAAGTATCACTGATTCGGTTAATTTATAAGGTGCAAATCTTCCCTGCCTTCTGATATAGCCTAGCTAATGTTAGCAGCTCTGAAAAATCAAGTGCAGTGCTAAAACAAATCTTGCTTTATTCTTTCAAAGATAGCATCCTCCTTCCTCTTGCAGGAGGCAAGCAAATATTGCCTGAGTGACATGTTATGGATACCCCCTAACTGGAAGGTCATTTGGGAGATAGCAAATGGTGGGTAGAGGACAAGATGACTTACAGATAACATCACAAGAGCATTCTAAAATGCAGAGAATAAGAGTTCCTTCAACATGCAGTACACATTTTTGAAAATATGACTGAACATCCAATGCCTCAACTTCTTTCTACAATGGCAGAGAATTCAGAAGTAAAAATTCAGAGGCAATGCATCACTAAGAGATAACCTTTTTGAAACTAATGGATAAGCTGTGTCAGAGGGAGTGCAACAAATGGCTGCTGGTATAGCAGAGGCAAGAATCAGCCATTTTGAACACTGAGGTACTAACTGATTAGAAATTCAAATTAGAAAGGTCTTCTTATTCTTAAAATAATAACTAAAAAATACTGAAAAGTTGCAGGTATCTGCTTAAGAGACAAAGTATATCTTCTCTAGTCAAACAAAATGTATTAGAACAAAGAAAAACCTCATACAGTAAAAGCTCTGTTATCCAGCACCTTACAAGCTGGCATGTTCTATTAACCGGCATGCAGCTTGTAAGGTAAAGTGAAACCGGAAGTGCCCACAATGGCACTTCCAGTTTCCCCGAGCCTCCACAGCCTGGGGGAAAGCAGCCTGTGCTGCTGTGCCCCCATGGCCCGGGGCGCAGCCGGCTGCACAGGGCCTGCCTCTGTCTCGCGGGGCTGCAGGCGGGTCAGAGATGCTGTGGGAGGGGCGGCGATGCCCCAGATGCAGCGGGAGAAGCGACAGCCCGAACAGGCAAGGACGCCTGTTTAGGCTGCTCAGTTAACCAGCATATTTTGTTATCCGGGGTCCCCCATTCCCAGGGGATGCTGGATAATAGAGCTTTTACTGTACTAATATTACAGGTTATCACAGAGTAAAATGTGCTCTGCAACTGCATATCCAGACATATCCACGAAGATAATCATCTGAGAATGAGAGGCCATATTCTTCTAGAATACACTCAAGTCACCTGCATTAACTCTCTAGAGACTTTCAAATTATTTTGTTTGCTGCTCAGTTGTTGTATCTCATCCCCAAAGATGAAACCCACAAGATTGGATTTATGTATTTAACTTGTGCTTAGGGAACACCATTTACATTCTAGAGACATGCCTATGCTAACTACACTTGAGCATTTTCTGATCACTGAAAGATTAACAGATCCCTCAAAGGAAAAGGACTCATTTATCCAACAGTAAAAGAACTCACAAGTGCATAGCTTTGTGTTAGGTCAGTATGAGCCAACATTTTTGGCAGGTACTACAAATTAGCTTCACCCTCCCTAAGTGCCACTCTGACCCCTTTATTGATCCACTGCTTTGACTTCTGCTCCCTGCCCAATCTGCCACTGTATGCTGCCTGTCACCTCCCCAATCTGCTGTGTGCCACACAAGGGCTGCCCATACCACTTGTGATATCCATGCTGCTGGCTGGCCACCCTTGTCAGTGCACCAGTCTAAGCAGAGATGACCGTAGCAGGGTGCTGGGCCCAGGGCAAATCAGCCTGTGCAGGACCTGGATGCGGTGGCGGGGGGTGGAGACGTGGTGAGCAG